CCATCTTCACCGAAGGAATGTGAATCTCCTTCCCAGTTTCCTTCCCCTGATACCAGTAATCCTGCTTCCCATTACTATCGCATTCTCCCTCTCCCTTCCTCCTGCCTCTACTCTCCATTACCTCTCCGGCATAGTTGCAAATCACGATACTCGTCAGGGAGGTCTGCGAGGGATAAGGAAAGATGATCTGAGTTTCATCTCCGAATGTCTGCTAAAACCTTCACTCCTCCTCGTCCTCGTCCTCTTCCTCGTCCTCCTCTACTCACCGCCAATTGGTTCGTTCCGTGGCTAATCGATGGTTTCTTTGGAGAAGCTGCGCATGTCGACTCAGGATGAGGAGGAGAGAGAGGAGGGAGAGAGGAGGAGACGTGTAGGACGAGGAGGCAGGGCGTGAGAAAGGGCAGGGAGGCAGAGGACAAGGAAGGGGAGGAAAAGATTGAGAAACCTGTACTATTCGACCAGAGGGTAGAGATGATGCCGAGGAAGAGGAAGGAAAGCACTACAGCAACCAACACTCTCCTCCTCCTCAGCCATGATGGTGCGACACTCGGCGGCGCACCAGGATCCGTGATGGCCTGAGAAGTCGAATCAGTGAGTAAAATCATATCTTTTCCTCCCACCTCCTCATTCTTCTCTCCGCCTCATTTACCTCTCCATCTCCTCCTCCTCCTCCTCATCATCATCATTATCATCATCATTATCATCACCATCACCACCATGATAGTCATCATCATCAACAACAACAGCACCACCACCACCACCAACCTATCACCGCCGCTTCTCTGGCCTCTTCTCCCTTCATCTCACCTCGTATGTGACATCTTCTCCCAGCATGCTGATCGTTTACCCAACTCAGGTAACACCTGCTCAAACTGTTACATAGAGGCCTCGCCGACATCTCTTCTCCTTCACTCCTTCACCACTACCAGCTGCTCCAACTCAGCGCCCACTCCCTCCCCGCCCTCCCCTTCCGTCTCCATCGCTCACTCTCCCTCCCTGTCTCATCGCCTTCTCCATCCCAAGTTGCCCTCCTTCTCCCTGTTCCTTC